CATTTATAAATTATTTTTTATTCAATTAAGTTAGAGGATTTCAATGAAAATTTGAATTATCAAATTCCGCCTGTTTTTTCTTCTACGAATAGTCTGCATCCTATGTATGATTCTTATCTCCATTTTTCCATCTGCATGTGCCTGACACCTACTTTGTCAGTGATAACTGAATAAGTAAGGCAATGGTATGGAAAATTGGGATATTTGTGCATACAAAGTGACCTCAGATGACTTAACCCCCCATGTCTCTACTCATTCACGAGTCGCGACAGTACCAACAGAAACAGAGATGCCGAAAGCTCGGGATCTCTGGATGGACGAAACTATCACTTCACCCACTTGTTGAGTAGATCGTAGAAGAAGAAAGGCAGGTCGTCATGCAGAGGGAATCGCAAAATCGATTGGCACGGGAGTGGGAATGGAAAAACTATTGTTCCCTCCATATATATCCCTGGGATTTACGTTTCTGTACGTACAGGTACATGTGTCTATGTATTGACCCTGGCTGTTGATCTGAAGTTGGATTACTCGATTCATAGAACGATTGAAGAGATGCATGCACCTGCTTTGTAAACATTAGGGTATGCATGCTTTGGTTTCGGTACCTGGGAGTTGGCATCGTATTGATAATGTCATGTCATGTGTACGATTATAAGTAAGTTTACATAGTACATACATGCAGTAGGCGCTGTACACACACATGCGTAGATATGGATTGCATGTCAAGAGGAATTTGGTGGATGGATTGTGGTAAGGCTTCGATCACGCGAAAACGATATCTCTCTGGAGTTCTCCAGTTCCAATTGTTCTTAAAACAGAATATAGAAACACTATATGTATGGCTATTAAGACCAAAGAATATCGCTATACTTCGGTACAATAAGGAGAGAAATTTAGTCCGTCAGAGTGGTTCCCTTTCCTACAGACATCCGCCCTCCAAAAAGAACAAGTAAGAGGATGAAAGATGATCCGCGTGCGCGCGCGGATATGCACGGATAATTGATTAGATCTATAACTATTCCTCCTAATGCAGTGATCAATTGTACCTACACCCAAGTAGGTAGCTATAGTAAAGTTCAGGGCGCAAATGCTACCACTTCTTGAATCTTGATTTCTCTATCATACTATATTCACATCCTTCCTTTGCATCTCACAATATCATCCAATCAAATAATTCACCAGGTGGCATAAATGTTCCATGAATTTAATACAATTATGCGGCTCGGTGATGCCGATATGTATGTACTATGCATGATGTTCGAAAATGTGAATGGATGGAAGCGGATACTTGTCGTTAAGTGATATTGTATCATAATGAACATGGATGATGAGGTTTTTGATCTGAACGGTTGCCAGATTTTCATCTGATCAACGAACGAACGAACGAACGAATGAACGAATGAACGAATGAACGAACGAAATGGTCGAAATACTGGCGGAAACCACATGCACTAGGACCAGGATAATGATGGCTAAAAGTAACTAACTGAGCATCAATGTTGGGGAAGGATACTTTGTAATTGGTACAGCTCCTGCTCCAATGAAGATGCAGGGGAGTGGAATGTTGAATTTAATGGTGATAGGATGAAATGGTTCATCCCGAAATAGACTTATCATTGAGAAATTAGATTATAGCAATTCCTCAATGAAGAAACTCAATGCAGTTGGGGGTGGCAAGTGTGGATTAGAAGATTTTGAATTCCGTGGGGGTAAACTGGGAAAAAGAGGAAGGACGTCGCAAACTTAACCAGCATTGGCTTATCCAGGAAGGCATCACAGCACGTTTCTCTCGTAAACTCTATGCCTCGTGAAAAACTCGTGTCTACAGTGTCCGGGCGAGGATAATGACAGGCCCAAGAAACGTAAAAGAGGCGAAGGGCGGGGGGTCTACATATTAAGCACGTGTGATGGAATTGTTCTAGATTTCAAGGATTCAAACTTTTGAGGTCCCCGAAACCTTCTTTTCATGGGATTCTGAGAATTATGCTTATCTTGTGTGGAGAGCTAACGAGAAGCGAAAACGAAGCAAAGGTTTGAATCTAGCCCCTGAATGTGAAATGAATGGGCGGCATTAAATGTCGTGCAGTATTGTGAAATGTGATGAGAGGGCTTCAGATGAAATTAACAATTGCCCATCAAAGGAAAGAGAAGACGAGGGTCTACGTAAGCTTCATGACAGTTTTTTTGTCACTACCACCCCCGAGGCATGATTGATTAAGCCCTAAGGTTGTAATCTGCCAGGGCGCATCTAGTGGGTCGAAAGGTCTCGAGTTGCTTGGGAATGAGGGAATATTGTGAATAAGTGGAGGTGCTGTTGTGTTTGTGGGGGTAGAATTTGCATGGGAGCCCTGTCATAGAGTTGACTTTTGGTAGGCCGACAAGCTTTGCAATGTGGAGATGGGGATTGGTGGCACCTTTGCAGTAGAGATGGGAAGTTTGATTGGCTGTCAAAATGGCATTTACGAAGCAGGTTTGTGGTAGTCCATGACACTTGTGGAGATCGACGATGGGAATGTTCTTTGGAACTACCAGAACTTTGTGAACATTGACCATACCAATTGAACTTTGGGAATATTGTGACACAAATTAGACAGCAAGGCGCGGAAAGATTCTTTAGGAATTTCGCTTTGACGAGCACAGTATCTGTATCGTGGTATTACACGCACATGCACATGCCAAATCGGGTTGTAGATAGTATTTGGTGTGGGTTTTTGTGATGATACTTCATATTCGTAGTTCATTGATTGGGGATGGATCTGCGTAACTTTAAAAAGAATCACAGTATTGCGGAAGTGATCTCGTATGTGGCAACGGTCTTCTCGATTTTTTCATAACGAGAAATTCCCTGCACTGGCTAAAGCAGTCTCAAAGAAATCTTATGTCTGTGAATATGATATCATCAGCCATCAAGACAGGTTTTCATCATCTTCCTTAGCAAATTCATGAGATTGTCATTCTCGAGGGCAGCCGCAACACGCTCCTTGTCAGCCAGTTGTTTGTTGACTTCGTCAGCTTGGCTGTGTGTATCCTTCTTGATCTTGACCTCGACTCGGTATCCTGGCGGAAGAGCTTGTTCCAAACGTACTCGCACGCCAAGTCCAATAACAGTTGCTAGGGAGCAATGTGAAACCGTTGGCGTCAATTCAACCAGTACGCGAGACAGTGCTGCTGGGTTTGTGAGATCAGGAGGCGAAACAAGATGAACATCCTCAAGCTTAACTACTCCGAGAGACTCCAATGAGAGAGGATGCTCGGGGTCGGAGATTGGTGCAATCAAGTCTTCAAAATGTCAGCTATGCAAACTTTGGAACGCGACTGACCCAATTTAATACTGAAATTTAGATAGCGCTCGTTATAATAGTGAATGGTAGAGAGGTATCAGGATATTCATTTGATTTTGAGATACCTACTGATAATTGCACGTTTGATATGTGATACGATGCTAGGATATATCGAGAACTCGAAGAACAATTGGTATTAAGTGAATTGGAAATACGTGAAATGCTTACCATATATTTCCTGTTCATCTATTGGCTCTAAGCCAGAGTCGTCTGAGTCTGAGTCTTCATCTGAGAAATCTGACATATAAAAAGGATCCAGTGCATAGCTGGGTTTTGCCATCAATATGCTCTGTATACCATGTTTCTTGGCCGAATAATCTCGAACCTTGCGCTTTTCTCTTCGACGTGATATTTCGGACACATTCAAGATAGTAGGATTCGCATTGTCTGCCGATGCCATGTTGAGATGAGTTGGGGGCCACTTGGGGCTCTGCTGGCTAACAGGAATGGCTTTTCTGTGCTAGTTGGATAGCTGACAGGTTCAACGTTGCGACTCGGGTTAGATATGTTCAGCTGGGCTTGCGAGTCGATAGGAAGCGGGTTATTGAATGGATTGCAGGTTAGAGGTGCAAGAGCTTGAGCTATGGTTTCTTAAAATCTTGAACGTAAATTTGATAATGACGAAGAGGTTTATCAAATTCCCTTTATCGATAAAGCGAAGTGGGATAAATCTGAAACCTGAGGCATGATATCAATTCATGACTAATCACCTAATGATCGAGGAAAGCCAAGGACAAGTATTGAACTTAGAACTCGTAAATACAATGATAAATCATAAATACACCAATAAACACCGGAGATTTTTGCGTTGATACTGTCCCTCATTGCATTTCCATGCAAGTCCCTCTTTTGCCCTGCTCTTTGTTGTTATATGGTAGTCCTATTTCACAAAGTGTCTATCTCCATCTTGTGCAAAGTTTCAAGTCCCATATTAGAGACTAACTTTGATATTTGTGGCACGCTCCGTGCAATCCCATGGCCAGAACTTGGAAGTTCAAGGATGTATCAAAAGCTCACCTCAAAATCTAATAAATGTCCTGAGAAGATTCATGAAGGATCAACAAGCACGAGCCATCTGCATCTCGTGGCGATCCTGCGCTTCCAAGGTTAAAGGTTCCGTGCTATACTCGTTTCCGTCCCGGAAGATCTTTAAACCTGGTCTCTTCATATTTGAGATTGCCAGACAAATGAAACTCGTCGGCAAGCTGGACCCTCTGGGTAGCTTCAGATGATCTGATCAGACAAGTTATGATCCGAACCTCCGTGATGAACGGTGTAGATTTTGGAATTCGGACTTTTACTCTTTTGCTTTCCAAGAAACCAGCTTCAATGTACGTTCCAGGTAAATTAGACTTCCACTGCCTGTGCGTCTCACGAAGCCAATGGCCTTCCACGCCCTTGTTGGCAAAACAAATACTGAAATCAGCTTATGGCCGCCATAATATCTACCTCTTTAATGTACTCTTCCGTGCGAAAGGTTGCTGGCTCGAGGAACTGCAAGGGGGAGACAGATTGTAGAGAGATTATCGATCCATCTGCAGGATAGGCAATCTTTGTCTATCGACGCCGAAAGCCGTCAAACCGTTTTCCTTACTCTCAGCAAAAAACAATGGCCGATAACAAGACCTGCATGTATTCTTCTTCCCTTGTGAACAATCTTCAATGGACATGAGATATCTTTGAGCCACCGAACCATGTTGCCGGGTTCGTCTCTGCTTGTCGAGTGGCTGCGACTTTAGGGCACGGAATCATGAGGTTAAAACATCTGATCTTTTGGCTTGTCCTGAAATCCCAATATTCCTTGTCAGAGCCGTATCGCATGTGCATTGTTCGCTGCATTTGCTGGCAACTGCGTCCCATATCGCCTGAGAACTGATACCCGGCGACCTTTTCTGGGGCTGTTTAGAGGCTAGTACAGTGTTTGCGGGGCAGTAGTACCTGTCCAGAGATCCTTGGATCCACTCATCATCTAAAGAAAGGCATTATTAATGGAGCAGTCTTCTGAGAGTGTATTGAAAATATGCAAAAATACATTACAGCAAAACCTCTCCATAAGGATACCGGTTTTTGTAGACTTTTTTAAGGATATATAGAGGTATCCTTATATAGAGGTATCCGACTAATCCCGACACAGTAGTAATCCACTTCCGATTAGTCCCGATCGGGTTATATTCCGTGACAATTTCGGAAAATTTTCTACTTTCATAAAATATGACTAAATTCTTTATATGAGAGCTCAAATCCCGATAATCTTATTGGTTTAATAAGGATATATGTGATTTTGGGACCGAGAAATATAAGGATATCCTAATAAAGAGGTTCTAAGGATATAGGCCTTTTTTAGCCCTAGAAATTTTTGGGACCGAAAAATATATCCTTATAGAGAGGTTATCCTTATAGGGGGGATCCTTATGGAGAGGTTTTGCTGTAGACAGATGCAACATGCACAGCGATACTTTCGATATTGAATGGTTCTTCCTTCATGTACATTCGTATTTACCTGCACATGCCCCCAGTACTTAGGCATGGAAGTGCTTTTGACACACCGCCGACGCCATGAAATCACCACAGACGTCTTGAAACAGACAACCTACAATATATTTGTTGTTGTACAAAAGTTGCTAGACGTACAGTACTTTGATTGTGTCGTAAGTTCGTGACATAGGTGATGTGCGCCTTAAGTCCTAAATTACTAGGACTTTTCGGTGATACAACGGTATCGTTATCAATCAAATGAAAATGAGCTTAGGGGCAGAATAAATATCCGTTTGCTATGTGCGAGTACGACGGACCAACGACTAACACTTTTTCCTGTTTCTTTTCTAGTGCAGGCAGTAGAAAAGAAAAGAATGGTATCTATTTGCCGCGATTACCCCTCACAAGGCCCTAAAGCACCCCAAAAACGAACGCCTAACCATATGAAAGCAACCTCGGACTATTGCCATAGACCTAAAGTCCTATGATGCTTCTAAGTCTGAACCCTAAATCCAAGGACCTATAATCTATCGGTAGGTGCCGATGTGAAGTGCTTACAGCCTTCCGCACCTCCTGTAGCACAAACTCCATTTCAGGAACGATGCCTGCATTCTGTGCCCCACAATATTGAGTTATTCTTGACTTCTTTCTTCCTTTCTCACGAATCGGTATGTATGAACATGACAAATGTGAAATGTATTCAACTTCTTGCATTTTGACATGTTAAATGTGGTACCTATCATCCAGGAGGCCATTGTGGGTACAGGACTAAGAGAGCATCACATCCTTCCCACTGATCACCGTTTCACACATCCCAAACTGGTTTACCATGCATCACCGGTCCGAAGGCTACATTTTACGGGATCTTTTACTTGTAGAAGGATGAGCGAGTTGGTATGGTCCTTTCAATCAATCTTGTTTGTGAATCTGCGATCCCATGGCTATCTTCGAGACTTTAACCCATATAACCTACAACGAATGATTGAGTAGCATATACGCCTCGGTAAATTTAGGCCCTATTTTGCAACCACCGAAAAGCCTTCTCCCCGGAAACTTACAGTAGCACCGGGTACCTGTACCTGTCTGTACCCGTACCAATTACCCTTTCAACAACATTACGAATGAAGATAAGATGAATGAATGCATGTGATAACAGGAATGACAACCAAGATTCCAAGAGTTGATGTCTTCGGCAGTATCCGCGTCAAGACGAAGGTGTTAGGCGGTTTTATCGAGATTACGAGTGAGGAATAAGGAGACCTGCCGTATTCTTTCTTGGGCTCCCCCCCGTTCTTTCCCATATTGACAATAATTTGGTGATTTCACTAATATATTGAAAAGAGGCAAAGAGGGGCCAACCTTATTGGATCATTACCAAATACAAACACCACTTTAAATTCGGACTTCAAGTCTTCCCATTCCGATTTTTTCTTTCGTTGACAGGGAAGTCGGTTACGATACTATTTTCTGCCTCGTAGAAACTAGAAGGATGCTACATCATGATTCATAAGTCGTCTGTCTCTTCTATTGGACTTCCTTGAATTTTCCCTTTCTATTTTAGAGAGATTGTCCTTCAAGCACTTTGGAAGTTCCCGGTTCTAGGCAAAACAATATCTCCTTCATTTTGCCTAGATACGTACTGGGCTTCTCAACTGGTTAGCAATAGAGGTACCTATCACTACTGTATGTTTGACCGGGATTTTGGAAACCAGCCGTTTCGAGTTCCCTGCTATCACCTCCCGGCATACTCACTTGCGGGTCTTTTCTTGTCAGACCTTAGCTTGCCTGAGTCCATGACACCCCATACAACAACATCCATGGTCCCATAAATCCATTATCACCCATTATCCCTCCTTCCACGCCTGCATGAGGTGAATACCCTCACGCCTAACACTTCGGTAAGAGAAATTTGGGATTTATTGGGAATTGCGTCTATACCCTTACCTATCTATCTACCCTACCTATCTATACCCATACCCACAGCAAATTTATAGGCCAATCCAATATTATTGCCCATCTAATACCTAATGCTTTATAGATTCTGGTCTGGAAGGGTGTTCATGTTCTCTGGCATCACTGGCACTAAATTATACTTTTTTATTGTGGCGCGACCCTAGATCAATTCAAGCTTCTATCGAGTGCGGAGTACTCTCTCTTAGTATCTGTACATACAACTACCATCTTCAATCGATTTTGACCAAATACCGCATCAAAAGAAATTACACCGTCTGTCAAAAGTAGTCAATCTTCTTTCCTTTTCTATGGGGCAACACTTTCTTCGTTTTACAATACAATATCAGTATACCCCAACCTTGATCAATTGGTATGTGAGAGAAGTAGGCGCATGTTGTGCTACTCATGATGCCTCAATCATAGATGATTAGCTGACCCTGATCTACTTCTGCAGTTTCATTCTTCGATATCCTTGAACTTCCGATACTCCGCCATTCGATTTCAAACGTCCAGCTTCGTGGCCTCTCGAATTAGTCTGATCAAAACCCAATTCGTGCTTATTCTGGACTTAAAACGTGCCCCCTCATCTGGATGCGGCCAAGTGATTGAATTTTTGGGTTCACGACGCTCCGCTTCCTCAGATCCATTCTCAAATATATCGACGATCTTCACTGAAAGAGGTTGTTTTTTCTCTCATCGGATACTCGACAAATAGGCGCCTATAACCGCGATACGACATCGTGTAGGAAGCCGAATTCGCATTTCAAAATAGGATATGTCCCAAGACCTTGGAACAAGGAGACTACTCCCCCAAAGCTCACAAATGCAGAACTTTTCGTTTGCGCCAACAAACTTTGGCCCAAGAGAGAATCAAAAAAGTGCGCGATCTTGCTTTCATTTGGGCATTTTGGAGTTGACATGGGCTGATATATCTTAGATTATGTCTTTGTTGACGAACACAATCGCCACAAGCGTTTGAAGGGTATGAGATGTCCTCAGTCTATGCGCATTCCTCTACTAATGCAGCATAGTGATGCGAGCTTGTGAAGGATGTCGAAGAAGAAAAATCAAGTGTGATGCTGCAACAACGAACACCTGGCCATGCTCCGCTTGCACAAGGCTCAAGTTGGGATGTGTCCCCCCAACAGTGAACTACGATCGCGATTTCCAGCAAAGTAATCAGACTTTTGAAGCAGAAGCGCCGCAATACGATAATGGTGGAAATCCCAGCGGTGGATACCATCAGCAAGTTCCAGTACAACAGCAAATGACAGGCCCCTCAAAGGTGGTACCTCCAATTTATACACAACAACCTCCATATCCCGATCCGAATAACATGTATCAATCTATTCCGTACGGAGGACCCTCGAGTGCACATAGTCAACAGAGTATGCATTATAATAGTCTTCAAACTCCAGTCAGCGCACTCAGCCAACATACAGAATATTCGCCACAAGCGGTATATCCCACAGCCCCTCTTCAGCAACAAACACATGATTCGCCTGAAAATTATACCCATAGTGAATACAGCGGGGAGGATTTGGCCGACTTGCTAGGAGAACTCAAGATGAACCCCGCAGGCACAGGTAAGCGATTTGCTCGTCAATTTAAGTTATGGTTCTGATAAGAAACAGCTCCATACTTGAACAACAAGAACAGGACCAGAGCGTTGGTAGAAGAACCAGCTTTTGAAGACATTGATGAATACAAAAACGCTTTACCCCCAATTACATTGAGCGCCGACATGAAGATCAGAATACCTCCCGAGTTGCTTCCAGACGAACAGACTATCCTTCATTATTTTGAGATGTACTTCACAAATGTACATCCTTATGTACCTGTCCTTAACAAAACTTTGTTTTACCAACAGTGGCATACGAATCGAGATGCTATCTCACCTTTAATACTGGAAGCCATTTTTGCAATCGCTGGAAGACTTGATGATGAACCAGCGCAGGGTCATCAGTGGCTCGCCCTTGCTTCTAGTAAGACATCATCTTGTAGCTAAATGAATCACTCCACTAACTTCATATAGAACATGCCGATGCTTTTATGGATGTTCCGCGATTGAGCACTCTTCAAGCAAACCTGATAATACTTAAAGCAAGAGAATCCGCTCCAAAGCGTGGATATTATTATCGTTCATGGATGACTGTAGTAGCATGCGTTCAAATGGCCAAGGATCTGGGTCTAGATGAGCACTATGAAGATCACAAAGCAGGTCGATCATGCGGTTCTGATCTTGCTGACTGCATTACCAAAACTCGAATATGGCAAACCATATTCGTTTGTGAATTGATGATCGGTTCTCCACAAGGTCGGACGGATCTCGCGGTCGACATGGAAACACTTGACTTGAGCGTTCCCAGATCTGGGATCGACAATGGAGAACTCGCTATCACGCGCAATTTTACTTGGTTCACACGTGTTGTTCGCAATGTTCGGAGGATGAATAATGTTTACGCAAAAGTTAAGAAGAGAAAGGAGTGGGGTATCGATCCAGATTTCGTACAACTCAACCCTTCCTTCGAAACTTGG